GCTAGCTAAATGTACATGCACCAGTTAGCAGGAGGGAACGAGAGAAAGATAGAGTGGAAAATAGGTGGGGAGAAAGAAAGACAGAGACAAACAAAGAAAAAGAGAATGCGAGAGATACACAGAGGCAGAGAGAGAGAGAGAGAGAGAGAGAGAGAGATCTAGAGAGGGTGACGGCTCGATTGTAATTATGACATTGTTCTTTTCTTCAAATTGTGATTCCTCCAACTCCAAAACGGAAAAGACATCCGCAATCTTAGATCTAGATCTATCTAGATTCTAGATCTAGGCTAGCCTCGAAACTAGATCAATGATTTATGTCTGTCTGTCTAGATCTAGACCTAGGCCATAGATCTATAGAAGAACCTAGGTCTACCCTGAGCCAAGAAGAACTTTCCGAAATCACAAAAGAGTGTCCATACCGGGTCCGTATACTATACTTTGTGACTTTGTTCCCGGTTATCGGGTCTGTATACACCCCAAACCTCTTTATATAGATCTATCACCCCCCATTATACTGCCAGCCTCGCTTACCACCAGGTTTTGCCAATCAATGGAAAGGACTGCCTCTAGCTCTAGATCTACACTATAGATGTACAAACTTGATAGTTGAATGCCCTTTGAGTCCCTTTACTGCCATACACGCCAACTGTCCAAGTTGTAGTCTTATCAACTAGAATTTGCCCCGCCAATACCGCCAGCAACTATAGCTGCCAGAGGTGCTCACTTCACACAGAACCCAATCGTTTGCTAAATCATGTCACCTCTGCCGGCCGTCAAAATAACAAGATGATCAGCCAGATGACGTAAAGGCTGGCAGACGCCTGTGAGGCTTCACCATTAATTGAATTACAACAAAGGGTCAAGACTCTAGAAGAAACATTGGCTCACCTTTTTTTTCTCATATGCTTTGTTCGTTGCACATGTTTCCTAAACAATTTTAAATGAAAATAGATCTAGAATCTAGATTTAGAATCTAGACCTAGAAATCTACACATTTACTGAGATAGCATTTTTATTGACTATCGGCCTACGCCTAAACAACGTTTGAAAAATGAAAATGATCATTGTTTTGATTTTTGTATTGTGCTTTGACGCATGGTTGCCAGATTGAAATAACTTTAGCCTAGCCCACAGAATTCTACACTAAGTGTAGAATTCTGTGGCCTAGCCTAAATTCTAGGCCCCCTAACGGCCAGAAACTGAGAAAAGCCAGACCGATATTTTTAGTCCACTCTTTGCGGTGCTGAATAAACGTCTTCTTTCCTTATTCCTTAGACTCCTGGCCGTGTGCTTTAAAAAAAAATATTTTTAATATTATTATACTTATGAAGTTATGTGTAATACTCCAGATCTTGATTTATTTTGTACCTTTTGCAGAAGAAGAAAAGGAGGGGACATGACATTTATTAAACATACACCGCACATGTAGCCTACTTGTCTTGTGAGCCAAGGTTGAAGGTTCAAAAAGTCTGGCGGGACCTTCGTACTTGTATTTTGTATCCGCCCGCCGCCCGCCCGCACGCCGCATTC